GCCGACGGCTCCGGCCCATCAGCTACCATCGTGGAGCACCTTCGTCAACGCCCAGCGTTGATGAGGAAGGAAGTCCCTTTGTTTTGTGTTTTGTTGTACGGTGCGTTGATCCTTTACATTAAAGCAACGCGCGATAATGGATTCGGGCGACAGCTTCCTCCCGTCCGGGACCACGTTGGCGTACTTGTCCTTTTTAAAGTAAAACAGTAAGGAGGAGTGGCGCGCTTTTTCTTGTATTTTATCAGCACTTCTGTCGAGAGGGATGCCTCTCTTCTCGTGCGCTTTGGAAGATGTGATAATGCTTCGTCATGTTTTTCCTGCCTTGTGGCTTTACCGTGCAAGGCAGGGACTTTCACCCTCTCTCGCCCAAGGGACCTTTGTGTGTCTGTGGTTGGCTCTTGCGTTACAGTACTCAATCCATCAGGTTCCTTGAATCTAATTAGGATCGCCATTCCTCCAACACTGCCGGTGGCCTTCTGACATATCGTACAACAGAGTTTGGGTAATGGTTCTACTACGCTTGGCGGCTTTTGTGAGGAGCGATGCTTAGCACAGATGTGGGAGAGTAGTCCCACCTTGGCTAGGGCTCCAAATCCACAGTGTTCAAATTGGGAAGGCGAGTCTTTAGCGCTTTCTTCAACCTCCCGTGGGTGTTTGCGTTTGGACATTGCGGGTGGTGGAAGTAGGAACGGTGCTGTACCATTCCCCCTTAGGCTATATATGACGTCGCAAATAAATCACAAGAGAATCATCCTCAGCGCTTCTTTGCAATCGGGTTTGGGTCTGTTGCATCGCAGGTGTTGCGCGTTTTGGCTTCGGGTCTGGGGGAGGGGGTTCTATTGGGTTACACCGCGTACATGTACTTGGCGTTGCGGGCTGCAATACTCGCAGCAGCCAGCCGTGGCGGTGAGCTACACCAGTGCGGAAACGAGCTGGGGTAGCTTCCTAATCCCGAGTCAAGCTGGGGTCATTGCGTGCAGGGTTCCAATGATTTGTGATGCTGGAGCGGTGATTGAATGGATTAGGAATCTGGCTGCGTATGGGACGTTTGCCAACACAACTGCATCCGGTATACGCGTGCCCCCGCACTGTGGTAGGTCAGAGGCCGTCTTGGCTTTCTTATCGCATGCCTCATTCTTCACAACGCCACAGTGGCCAAATATAAATTGTAGGCCTATTCGTGCCTTGCAGTATTGTAGTTCCAATAGCAGATTCTATTTCATTGATAATATGGGGCCTGTTACTATCAGGGGACCTGTTTGGAGTGCCATGAGAAGTGACAGGGGATCCGTGAAGATGGAGGCTCTGCAAGGCCGAATGCTGCGACGGGGAATGATTTCCAGCAATGTCTGAATGCCTATAAAGGGCGCAACAAATTTACTACGGCAACTCCACACCATGGATCGTTCGTCAGCCTTCGCCTGGGCCACGCCCTTCCCGTTGAAGTAAATCATGGCTGCTCTACCGGATTTCACTCCTAGTTCGACAGAGACAACTGTCCCCAGTTCGTCGTGCAGACGCTCGGGTGGAGCAGAAACTTTCTGGCTGAAGCGTTGAGCAATCCATCTGGTACATGCTTGAAGCTTGACGCCGTCCGGGCTATTATCAGTGACACATTCGATCGATGTATGGAACAGGGCTCGAGATGCCCGTTGCAGCTTGGAGAGTGGTAGGGGTGGGAATCGTGCTTCAATATGGAGTTCTGGGTATTGTGCCATGATGGTGGTATAAAGTTGTCGTACGGGGTGTTCCGTCGGGTATACTGCTTTAGCACTATTGCGCACGGCTCCTCCTTGTGCTTTGTACAAAAACATGTATTTGAGGCTATGTGCCAGTAGCATCGTACTGAGCTGCTGCGAGTTGGCCTCAAGCAACGCATCTTCTGTGCGGCTACCTTTAGGAATGCCGGCGATTATTTTACAGGCTTTGTACTGCCCGGCATTAAGCGTTGTTCGCGAGGTGGATGATGCGTCCCAGTACCATACTTCTATACCATACATTGCTTTGGCCTGCACTAGAGCCAAGTAGAAGGCACGCAGTGTGTCTCTCTTCGGTCCCCAGCTGCAGGATGAGACGGCCGCTAGCTGCATGAGTCGCTGGTTGATCTGCTGCTGTAGGCGTGCTACATGTGAGCTCATTCCACGGCATTTCTGGAATGTGATGCCCAGCAGTGTCGGGAGCCGTTCCATGGTGACCTGTGCGCCGTTGTAAAGGAGTGCAAAGGGGTTTGCACTTGTGGTCCCGAAGAATGCATACTTCGTCTTGGATGCGTTAACCTCCATGAAGTATTGCTTCGTCCAAGATGCCACCACGTTTAGCCCCTGTTGTAGGGTGGTTGTCATGATCTCTCGGTCGCTGTGTCGGGCTATCAGGGTGAGGTCATCCGCGAAGAAGCCGTGCTGCAGTAGCGGGACTTCAGCCAGCCGGAGGCTGAGAGAGTTCATGACAATAATAAACATGAGTGGCCCAAGAACCGTGCCTTGTGGCACACCTCTCGTGAAGGACACCGGAGGGGAGTGCACCTTGTTTACGCGAACTACTGCCGTCCTATTTCGCGGAAAGCATGCAGATCAACGCACTATATGTTGCGGTATTCCAAGCCGTCGCATTTGAAGTATGATTTTATTATTATCGACTGTGTCGAAGGCTTTGGTGTAATCGACGAACACTGCGGCCGTTCTGTCCTTAGGAGTCGGTCGATGCATTGTTACTCGAAGGTGCAATAATTGGTCCAGTGTGGAGTGGGATGGTCGGAATCCGGACTGCTGCGGCGTAAGCTTTGGCTCTATAACCTCACGAATGCGTGCTGCTATAATACGTTCCATGAGCTTGCAGAGGCAACTTGTGAGCGTGACTAGCCTGTATGGCTCTAGTTGAGTTGCTTTCTTGCCGGGTTTTAGGAGTGGGATTATAACCCTGTGCCTCCAGCTCTGCGGAACGACGCCAGTGCGCAGGCTCTTGTTGAAGAGAGTTAGGGCAGAGTGTTTCGCACCTCTCCCAAGGTGCCGCAGTGCCTCACCATGTATCATGTCGGGTCCCGGTGCATATCCCAGCGGCAGAAGACGCAGTGCGCGATCGAGTTCAGCCATTGTTATTGGTTNATAACCTCACGAATGCGTGCTGCTATAATACGTTCCATGAGCTTGCAGAGGCAACTGGTGAGCGTGACTGGCCTGTATGACGCCAGTTCAGTCGCTTTCTTGCCGGGTTTGAGGAGTGGGATTATAATCCCGTGTCTCCAGCTCTTTGGAATGACGCCAGTGCGCAGGCTCTTGTTGAAGAGCGTTAGGACAGAGTGTTTCGCGCATTTCCCAAGGTGCCGTAGTGCCTCTCCATGTATCATGTCGGGTCCCGGTGCGGATCCTGGCGGCAGAAGACGGAGCGCACGATCGAGTTCAGCCATTGTTATTGGTTGAAAATCGGCATCCCTTGTTTTGATTGAGGGTGGGGGTTAGGATCGCGGGGCCTTCGAGCAATTGCAGCGTGCATGCGGGCAAGGTGGTTGGCCTTTTGGTGGTGGGAAAGCACAACCCCATCTGCCTTGACGGCTGGCGTGCTGAGGGGGCGTATACACGCTTTATGATCTGCCAGCTGTTGCCGTTGGAGGCTTCAAGGTTTGAGCATGGAGTATGCCCCCGGCTAGTGGCAGCTGCACGAAGAAGTTCCCTGCGTCGAATCTTGAGCCGCTGACTGGATTAAGCGCTTGGCCTCCTGGCAATTGTCTTAACTAAGCCTGCCCGCTCAGGGGTCCAGAACGGGGACTGGCGTCGATTGCCCTCCGGCACTGCTGCCTTTGTGGCCAGCCGTATGCCAGATGCGATGTGCTTCTCTATGGTGTCTATGCGATTCATGCCTCGTTTGANGTAAGCAGGGTCTTGTAGATCCGCGGCACTTCTAGCGGAGTGTCATCCTCCCCCACCTGGACAGTATAAGTGATGATGTAGTGGTCGCTGTCCGGGGTGGGTCGCGCTGTCCAGATCTGCCACCATGCATTCCTTTGCCAGGGACACATCTGGCGTGGAGCCTCTATGTCTATCAGTGTGCCGCGTTCGGTCTCCAGTGTTGGCAACAAGGAACTCATTGTCAATGCACCATTGCACAACGGCATCACCTCTGTTATCAGGCGGGATCTCGTGGCCCCATGATAATGCGTGTGCATTGACGTCAGCACCTATGAGTTGGGGCCTGTCTGTGTTGTTGAGTCTATCGAGGTCCTCCAAAGTGATTTTGGCGGCGACAGGGGGGAGGTATGCTGATGAAATCGTCAGCTGCATACCTGCATCCAGATGGATGGTCACCTGTGCAAGCTCAATGCCTGCAACAAGCGCCGGTCCTGTCTCTACCTGTATCTCATCCCGGATGAGGATTGATTCACCTCCACCACGACAGGTGCGAGCCATCCTATGATGCTGGTACCCAGGGGGTCAAAAACTAGCAGCCTCAGGGGGGGACATTTTTGTCTCACTCAGTAAGCAGGACGTGATATTATCATCGTAGAGCTTTTTACCCAAGGCTAGGCATTTGACCTGTGTTAGCCCAGCTGAGTTCCATTGCATGCCCCTCAATGTAGGGCCGGGATTCTCTTCCACATTTCCACTAAGCAGTAACTTGGTGTGGGTGATACTGCTGACGGCGCGGTGACACGCGCCCCAAGACCGACAAGGACAATACTGTGTCCCAGCGAGCCGCGGCGGGTCCTGGCACTCTGCGATGCCGCAAGCCTGGCGTCGCAAAGTTCTCCAAGTGGCGAACGTTGCTGGCGCTTGGCTTCCCCCGGCAATGGGGGGCGCTGGGCCTTGGTGCCGCGATGGGGTGGCCGGCATCGCAAAGGGTTTGGATATTCACGCCGGGGTTTTCCTTCGCCGCCTGGGCCACCCGAAGCTGATAATACAGCCGTCTGCCCAGTTGCGACTCTTCAGCCGAAATGCCCTCGTGGCGGATAGCATAAATCCTTTCCACGAAGTTGTCCCACGCCTGGCAAAGGTCGAATCCAGGCTTCATGGGTAAGGGAAAAAGACCCCGATAAGCCACCAGCTGCTGTTCTGGGGGAGGTCTCCAATAAATACTCCAAGGCGCCCTCGAAGGTCCGGATATTTTCTTCTGGTCGGAAACCCTTTTCCACGAACTTATTCCTTAGCTCTTGAATTTCTCGCACCCCCACCGGGGGTTGAGCCCCCAACGCCGTAAATGGCCGTTCTGCCTGCCCGCCCATCTTGGCGTTATGTGTCACAGTGTGCAAATCTTGTGGAAAATATTCGTTTTCACCCTCTGTTGCCGCCCGCTGTGCTGGAAGTCCCTGTTTCTTTTTTTGGTTAATCCACGCCTGCATCTGATTAATCCGATCTTGCATCTGATTGTTCTCCTCACGCAAGTGGGTTTTCTGCGATTCCAACGTGTTAATCTGATGCTGAATTTTATTAATGCGTTTGTTTGATCCCGCCGTTTGAGCGTAGGCGTCCTGCTGGATCTTTAAGTTTTCCTCAGCCAGTTGTGCCCTGGCCATTTCATACTGCTGATGCATTATTGACTTGCTGTCCTCCAGCGCCATCCACCCAGTGCAGAAGGCCGCCCGTGCATCGTCAAAAGCCTTAAGAAAGTCCTCATTCTTTGGCATGTTAAACGGCACCATGGAGTGCCGCAAAGAAACAAAACTGGCTTTCGCACCATTCTCCAGACAAATGGTCAGTTCCCCGTCCTCGAGTGTGAGTGCGCCTTCGACGCAATTGACCTGCGTACTAAAATTTGGTCTGTGCTCGAAAGAAAAAGGGGTCCGTCCGCAATGTTCGACGAACGCCCTGAGAGCTGAGAGGCTCGTCATCCACTCTGCATCCATGAGGGGCTGCTGGGGGTTGGTGGGTGACATTGTGCCCGCTTGTGGCTTACCTTTCGTTTCGAAAACTTGCCCCCTGCGACTTTCCAACGGCAAGGTATGAATAAAAGAATGGTGGTGGATCCCTGGGCCTCCTGTTGGCAAGATTGGGCCAGGCTTGGCAATTCCTTTCGCTGGCTTTCTAAAGGGGGTGGGGGCTCGCGTGGCGCCTGCGGCGGCCGTGCGGGGCGTTTTTTTTCCCGCCCGGTTGTTTTTCCCGGGGCGGGGGGCGTTTGGCGATCCCGGGGGGCCGCGGAACC